TCGGCTTCGATGGGCAGCCTTGCCTCACACCCATAGGTTAGGGAGAATGGAGTTTCCCCATGAGCCCTCCTGGGTGTTACTCGGAACGCCCAGATGATATGTGGGAGCTCTTCCAGCCACTTGTTTCCCGCTTCTCCCAACCGTTTCTTTAGGCCATCCACAATCGTTCGGTTGGCGTTTTCAACCTGGCCATTTCCTTGGGGGTACGCCACCGAGGAGCGATTGTGCTTGATTCCGAAGCCCTCCAAGTATTCAGTGAATCTTGGATTTCGGAATTGTGGGCCGTTGTCGGTAATTAGGTTCATGGGAGCCCCAAACCTGGTGATGATGTTCTTCCAAATGAACTTCTTGCATTGCTGCGTGGTGATATTGGCCAACACCTCGGCTTCGATCCATTTGGTGAAGTAATCGATGGCCACGATTACAAATTTCTTCCTTCCTTGGGCGATTGGGAACGCTCCAATGATATCCACCCCGAATCTAGCGAAAGGGATGACATTTGATATGGGGTGATAGTAGGTTGCCGGCCTACCGGGGTACTTGTAGAACACTTGGCACGTTCTGCACTTCTGGACGTACCTCTCGCAATCCTGGACAATTGTTGGCCAGTAATACCCCAACAAGATAATGCGCTGGGAAAGGGTTCGCGACATCTGATGCGCTGCGCACACCCCTTCATGGACTTCTGCTATGACTCGCTCAGCCTCCCGGTTGGTTAGACACCTTAGGAGCGGTCCTCCAATTGCCCTTTTGTACAGCTTTCCGTCAAGGACTTGGAACCGGGGTGCCCTGAGCTTCACTTTTCTTGCCCGGTCATCTTGTTCCGGCAAGACCCCGTCCATCAGATATTCCATCAGATCATACATCCAGTGGTCATCCGCCCCGACCAAGTTTGACCGGTCAGGTTGGCTTGCTCCTGTTATGGCGGCTACTTCCAATTTTTCAATGCTGGCATGATCAAGAATTTCCACCCGGGCAAGTTTTGAAACATGCTCGGGAGCATACTGCATCAATTTGGAGAGGAGGTCTGCATCCGCGTTCTCTACCCGGGGGATTTGGGCGATCTTGAATTCCTCAAACCCCTTCAACAAGGCCAGTACCAAGTCTTTGTACTGCGCCATTCGTCCTTCCCTAGCTTCCATGTTACCGGTCACTTGCCCAACGATCAAACTAGAATCAGATTTGATACTGACCCGGTCGATCTTCAGGGCTTGGGCGAGTCTGAGCCCTCCAGCCAGAGCTTCGTATTCTGCCTCATTGTTCGTCAGCTTGAAGTTGAAGATGATTGCATGGTAAATTTTGAATCCTTCCGGGGTGGTAAAGACTATACCACCCCCGTAGCCTTTAGGACCGGACGCCCCGTCCACTGCCATCTCCCACCACTGCTCGGTAGGCTTGTCGACCGGTGCATCTGGAATTACACCGGTCATCTCCACAAGGAAGTCCGCCAGGGCTTGCCCTTTGATTGCTGATCTCGGCCGGTACTCAATGTTGAATTGAGTTAACATCATCGCCCACTTCACCATCCTCCCGGAGGATGTTGAATTTCGCAACACTGCACCCAACGGTTGGTCAGTCAAGACTTCTACCGGGTGAGCTTGGAAGTAGGATGTTAACTTTTTTGCGGAGATGAAAAGCGCGTAGGCTGTTTTTTCCGTCGCCGTGTATCTACTTTCTGCTCCGTTTAGTGCCTTGCTCACATAATAAATGGACTTTTGTGCCCCATCATCTCTTTTTAAAACAGAGCTTACAGCATTTGGGGAAATTCCCAGGTACAGATACAGAGTTTCACCCGGCTGGGGTTTAGACAATACAATATCCGACACTAGGTACTCTTTCAGCTCCTCGAATGCCCTCTGGCACTCCTCGTCCCATGCAAATGTATTGGCCTTCTTCAGGACTTTGAAGAAAGGCAGGGACCTCTCAGCTGACCGGGAAAGGAACCGGCTGAGTGCCGCTAGACGACCGGTCAACTTCTGGACATCCCTCACTGATGTAGGGGCCTGTATCTCAGTGATAGCCGAATTTTTTCTGGGTTGGGCTCTATTCCTCTCTTGGTTACCATGAATCCCAAGAATTTCCCGGTGCGAACCGCGAAAATGCATTTCTTAGGATTCAACCGGAGGTTGTATCTTGCCATGATATCAAATGTGGCACGCATATCAGCCGGGTGGTTGAGGGATACCTGGCTTTTGATCAGCATGTCGTCGACGTACGCCTCCATGGTCTTTCCTAGTAGTGGCTTGAAGAGCCTGTTAACCATGCGCTGGTAGGTTGCCCCCGAGTTCTTCAAGCCAAACGCCATCACCCGATAACAGTAGGTTCCTTCGGGGGTAAGGAATGACGTTTTTTCTTCATCTTCCTTGGCCATGTATATCTGGTGGTAGCCCTTGAAAGCATCCATGAAACTTAGGAGTTCGCACCCCGCAGTTTCGTCCACCATTTGATCTGGACTAGGGAGGGGGTATGAATCCATCGGACATGCCTTGTTTAAGTCCGTGTAATCCACACACATTCTCCATGTGTCCCCCTTGGGAGCAAGAACCACATTGGCCAGCCAATCCGGGTATTTAACTTCTCGAATGTGACCAACACTAAGGAGGTCCTTCACCTCCTTCTTGACGAAGTCTCGTCGGTCGCTGGCCAGGTACCTTTTCTTCTGGCGTACCGGTCGACTTCCCTCCCTTACTGCCAACCGGTGACAGATGATTGAGCGATCTATCCCGGGCATATCTGCCACGCTCCATGCAAATATGCCCGCGTACTCTTGGAGCACCCGTGTAATCTCTGCCTTGAGATCTTCTGGGAGGTTTGCCCCAATTTTGACCATCCCCGAAGAATCACCCGGGTGGAGTTCAATCTCCACCGTCTCAGCTTCAGGCTCCAGTTTCTCCCGGGTCTCTCCCTCTGTGATCTCTTGGGAGATGACATTGACCCCCTTGGTCATCTTCTTGACTGCCCGAGCATAGCACTCCCGGGCGTTCCTCTGATCGCCCTTCACTTCCCCCACACCGCCTGGAGTGTAGAACTTCATGCACAGGTGCGGCATGGAAATCACCGCCCCGACCTTGTTGATGCCAGGCCTTCCAAGGATTGCGTTGTGGACGCATTTGATGTCCACAACAATGAACCGCATTCTCTTCCACACGGTCTTTTCGCCCGATCCTAGTTCGACTGGTAGAACTATGGACCCTTCAGCTTCCACCGTGTCTCCCGTGAAGCCTGAGAGAGGAGTTTTGAGGGGTTCAAGTTGTGTCCGACACAACCTGAGTTTTTGGAAAGTCTCCAGGTATAAGATGTTGACACTGCTGCCGGTGTCAACGAGTTCCCGGGCGACGTCCACCCCGTTGATGTCCATGGTGATGACCAATGGATCATTGTGATCTTCACCGGTTGGAGGGAGGTCCCGGTCAGTGAAGACTATTGGCTCCCTTCTGGGATACTTACGCCTGGCCGGTTCAGCACTTACTTCACCCACGTAAATGCTGCGAACCCAATTTTTCCGCTACGCGACTGAATCTCCGCCTTCAGACCCGCCGAAGATCATCCCAATGTGCTCCTTGTCAGGGGTAGGCTGTTGATCCCTCTGCCGGTTATTCCTCCGCCGGTCGTTGTCCCGGTCATTTCCCTGGGTCGCTGGCCTTACCCATTGATGGTTCTTCTCCTGGGCTTTCTGCAGATAATCCTTGCCTAGTTCTCCGCTGTCTATCATCTGCCGGATCACTCCCTTAACACTCTTGCATTCGGAAGTGCTATGGGAATCTGACCTGTGGTATGAACAATAGGTGCCCGACCACTGCCGTCCTACTTGACCGGTAGGATTTTCCGGAGGGTTGACCGGGTAAGGAGCTGGTGCTTTCCTTACCTCCTGGCACTCTTCCGTGTTGACCACGCGGACGACCAGGTCATAGTGATGTCTTGGCCGGTTGGGTCCCGACGCTTCTTCCTTTTTGACCTGCACCGGCTTGGGCTTATAACCATGCTCAGCTTCTTTCTTCGCCCGGAGTTGAGTTTCAGCCTCAGCAAACTCCCATGCAGTGTGGTAGGCCTCCTGATACGTGGCCGGGGGTTTTCGGCAGAACTCCTTGTATAGTTCCCCGGCACGTAAGCCATTCAAGAGAAGGGACAACACGGTTTTGTCATCCATCTCTTCCACCTTGTCTACCTCTTCCTTCCACCGGGTAAGGAATTGGGTGAGGTTCTCAGATTCCCTCAGCCCGGCCGTACTAAGATAGGTGAACTTCTTCCTCTTAGTACAGTTCTCCTGGAACTTGGCCTTGAATTTTGAGGCCAAGTCACTGAACGAGTCAATACTTCCTGGGCGAAGTTTGTTGAACCATTCAGTAGCTCGATTCCGCAAGGTTTGGAAGAAAAGGAGGCACTTTTCTTCATCCGTACAACCATTTATAGTTGCACTTTGGTTGAAAGAATCCAGATGTATTTCTGGATCCTCCTTGCCGGTAAACCTTGGGGCGTCTATCTTGACCTTTCGTGGGAAAGGTGTCAGGTGGACCCTTGTAGTGAACGGGGACCCTGCGAGGGGTTTGTCCCGGTCATTCTTCTCTCCAACCTTCTTCTCCAGCCTCTCCAGCTTTGCCTCCATCTGCTGGACGCGATCATTGGGGGTGGTTAACCGGTTAGCCACCGGTACCCTGGGTTGGCTTTCTGCCTCTTCCTCCTGACGAGAGGCCCTCGTCCTGGCTGGCTCCTGCCGGTTTGACCGGGAGCGTTGGGTGCGGGCAGGCTCGGCCTCCCTCATCTCGCCTAACCGGGCAAACGCGCTGACATGGGCAACGCTTTGCCCCA